CCTCAGGCCTTGCCCTGCGGAAGGGAGTGGGAGAAAAAACACCCGCTTCACGTAATCATTGCCTCCAGGGGCAGGCCATCTTTTCCTCTGCAGAGGTTTCGGACTTCCAACGTGGCTCAGGCTTTAACCATTGCAGAGAGTAGCAAGGAAGCCTGATGCACCCCATTTAGGGAACAGGGTTCGGTTTGCACCTACAATTCCACCTGCAGCAGTCAGACAATAAAGTGTGAAAGTCTTCTGAGATTTCGAGGCCTTCTTGTCTTTTAGGCAAAGTTGAGTCCACGTTGGGGGTCAGGGTCTTGGGTAAGATGCCCTGGCTGGGCCCACTTCCTTCTTGCCACAGAGAGTGACACTGTTCAGTCACTTTTTCCCTCCAGGCCCGGTTCATCTTCCAGTTACAATAGCATTTCTCATCCTTGTGAACTTTAAGATGGGTGGACTTCAACTCCCAGAAGTCCCCAGCCAGCAATGAAGGAGCCTCTTCCTCCGTGTGCTTGTAGTGACCTGCATACTCGAAGGTAGCCCTAACAGCCACGAGAAGCAAGCAAGCCAGGGCCCCTTCAAGGCAGCCCTTCTGGGCCTCAGCGGTGGTACCAGCTAAGAAGCTGAGTTGCTAGTGAGAGGAAGGAGCTAGATAGATTACTTCTTTGTTTTCTTCCGAAGGGAAGAGGTGGCCAACGGAAAGGGAAGCCTTCACTTAAGTTCACCTATGTGAACTTAACATTGTGCATGCATGGATTGGCAAGCTACTGCATGCAAGTTTCCAATTGTTGCAGAGGGCTCCTCCTCCTTTTCCTTTCCTCCTCTTCCTCCTCTTCCTTTCTTCCTCCTCCTCTTTTTTCTTCCTCCTCCTCTCCTTCTCATTTCCTTCTACTCCTCCTTCCTTTTCTTCCCCTCCTCCTCTCCCCTTTTTTCTTCTCTTCTTCTTCCTCCTCCTCCTCCCCTCCTCCTTTTCCTTTCCTCCTTCTCCCTTTCTCTTCCTTTTCTCCCCCTCCTCTTCCCTCCTCCTTTTCTCTTCTTCTCCCTCTTCCCCACTCATTTTCCTTTCCTCCTCCTCCCTTCCTCCTCCCTCTTTTCTCCCCCTCCTCCCCCCAGCTTTTCTCCTCCCCCTCCTCCTTTTCTCCTCCTCCCCTCCTCTTCCTTTTCTCTCCCTCCTCCTTTTCTCTTCTTCTCCCTCCTCCTCCCCCTCATATTCCTTTCCTCCCCTCTTCCTCCTTTTCCTTTTCTCCCCTTCCTCCTCCCACCTTTTCTCTCCTCCCCCTCCCCAACACATTTTTTTCAGTCTATGACTCTCCCTTGCCTGGCCTGGAGCAAAGGGAACTGAACCAAACCATCCAGCCATCTGTGCTGGGTTTCGGGAAGGCTCATTGCGCCCCCTCACCCGGAGCCCCTTGGGTGGCACAAACTGCAATAATGAAAGGTGTGTCGAGTGGAAACAAAGCTGGAGATCAAAGTCCTCTCCCCAGCCAAATAGATGTGTGGGAAGCTTCTGACGCCACAAGCAAGAGCTAGCAACAGTTTTCTTCCCTACGTGGTAAATATTTGGCCAGTTCTCTAGCCAGAGATCAAATCTAATATTTTCTCAAAGCTTTAATTGCCCTGGAGAAAATCGGATGCTGTTTTTTTGATGAAGTCCTGGTGACCCCTTGCAACGATGGCACATCTTTAAAAAAAAAAAAACATTTCCAGTCTAAAACATAATTGTGCTTCCCTGGTTACTATTTAAAGTCATTTATGCATAGCCAGTAAAAATTTAACCGAGAAAGGAGAGGCCAGAACCTGTCTGTGAAGAGAAGCAAAGTAAGCACTAATAGCTTTTAAATGAAGAGGTGTGTCTGAGAGAGTCAACCTGATTTTAGATACGTTGGGAAATACTTAAATATAGAAAAGAACACTAGGCTAAGTGGGGAACTAAGCAGATAAACAGGTATCAGGTAAGTATCCTGTAATTCTAGATGAGAGTCCTTGGCTCAGTAGTAAGAGTTTTTGTTTTGGATTCTGGTTCATATCCTGACATCTTTGGTTATAGAATCAACCGACGAAAGGACCCTTTGCTGCTGAAGGCTTAGGAACAGATCAAGTAGATCTGATGTATTGGAAAAAAGTGGATTGGCTGAACCCGGCTGACTGATCATAGTGCAGCTGCTTGTGTTCATTAAGACAGGGGTCTCCAACCTTGGCGACTTTAAGACTTGTGGACTTCAACTCCCAGAATTCCTCAGCCAGCTTTGCTCAGCCAGCTTTGCTGGCCAAGGAGTTCTGGGAGTTGAAGTCCACAAGTCTTCAAAGTTGCCAAGGTTGGAGATGCCTGCATTAAGAGATCAGTAACAGCAGGCAGTCATTCAAACTTCTCTCATAGAATCACAGGGCTGGAAGGAACCTTGGAAGTCTTCTACTCCAACTCCCTGCCCAAGACAGGAGTCCTCATTCCACCCTGGACAAATAGTTGTCCCGTCTCTTCTTGAAAACCTCCAGCAATGACGCGCCCACCACTCCAGGAGGCAAATTTTCCCACTCATTCATTCTTCTCACTGTCAGAAAATTTCTCCTCAATTTTACGTTGGATCTCCCTTTAATCATCTTCCACCCATTACTTCTCGTCCTGCCTTCGGATGCTTGGAGAATAAGTCAGTCTTTTCTTTAAGAGCCTTCTCTGTGGGGGCACCTGCTATCTGGAATGAGCTCCCCCCAGAGATACGGAGGATCCCGGATTTACGCACCTTCTGCCGCGCCCTCAAGACCTTTTTATTCCAACAGGCTGGCCTGGCCTAACCTCCCTTTTTAATTATAAATTTTAAATTTGTCTAAAATTTTAGGGTTGTTTTAATCTGTTCTGGGCCAAATTTATTTAATTAGGTTTTTATACTATTTTTAAATTTTGTAATTCTCTGTGTTTTATCTCTTGGCTGTTCACCGCCCTGAGTCCCTTGGGAGTAGGACGATATATAAATCTAATAATTAATTAATTAATTAATTAATTAATTAACTGTGACAGTACTAGAAGACAGCTATCCTGTCACCCCTACACCTTCTCTTCTTTAGGCTAAACATACCTACCTAGTTCCCTTAGCTATTCACGGTACGATTTAGCCTCCAGACCCCTTATTATTATTGCTGCTGTTCTTCTCTGCACTCTTTTTAGGGCAGTGGTGGCAAACCTTTTACTCACCGAGTGCCGAACAGGTACGGTGCTTCACACGCTTTAGGCACGCGTGTGCTATCAGCGCTAATGTGCAGCTCTTCCCTGTGTGCTCCACGGGCAATCACACCATCTGTGCATGCACGTGGTTTGCGCGCACCCAATGCACACACGAACACCATCTATGCATGCACGCGCTGCGCACAAGTACTTTTGCGCACATGGGCAAACATGCGCATGCACAGGAGAGCTCCGAAGACCGGCTGGGTCCCCTGAATTGCTCGCATTCGCACTGGAGGCCCAAACACCAGCTGGGGCGCACGCAACAGCTTGCGTGCCCGGAAAGATGGCACCCGTGCCATAGGTTCGCCATCACAGTTCTAAGGTCTCAGCAACTTCTCTCCTTTAAAAAGCAATCAGAAATCTTTGCTGGGGACCCCAAAGAGGCTTAGCTTCTATTCAGATGTATGGACTTCTGCTCTCAATACCCCGCAGGCAGCATGGCCCTCAGGGAGAATTTAGTGCAAACACACAGCGTGTTCATCAGACTCAAAAATGCATTTGCCTCTAGTGAGTTAGGAAACTGAAGCAATCAAGCATGGACGTTTTCCACAAGATAAGCACCTTCCTTACTGAGCAAGAATGCATGGCTTCCTGGACAGAAAGCTTGTGACAGCTAAGAGCCAATGGTGGCCTCGCACAGCACTTAAGCCACTTGTTTATTTTGTCCCCATCACCACCCACTCTTTTGCAAACAGTTGAAGTGCTGCAGGAAAAAAATAGAAAAGAAGGGAGCTAATGGAATGAGCAGGCATTTACTAGCTGGCCCTCTGAACCACTTTGGGCCTGCTGGGGGAGAAAAGCATATTTTCTTCTTTTCTTGGTTCTGCAAGGCAAGTTTAAAGCAGCGGTATTTTAATTAACCCAGGTCTGCCAAGTGCCCCAGCTGGCTTCATCCCCTCTCTGCGTACCTCCAGAATCTTGAAAACTCAGAAGAGGCATTTCATTCTTTGTCAGGGTGGTCAAGAACCAATATAAGCAGTTTAATGGCTGAGTGATAGTCGTTGGCTCAGATGGCTTGGTCAAGGGATTAAGTGGACTCAGAATAACAGATTAACAAAGTTGGAAGAGACCTTGGAGGTCTTCTAGTCCAACCCCATCCTCAGGCAGGAAACCCTATACCATTTCAGACAAATGGCTATCCAATCTCTTCTTAAAAGCCTCCACAACTTCTGGAGGCAAGCTGTTCCACTGGTTAATTGTTCTAACTGTCAGGAAATTTCTCCATAGTTCTAGGTTGCTTCTCTCCTTGATTAATTTCCATCCATTCTTTCTTGTCCTGCTTTCTGGTGCTTTGGAAAATAGGTTGACCCCCCTCTTCTTCGTGGCAGCCCCTCAAATATCGGAAGACCGCTGTCATGTCACCCCTAGTCTGTTGGTGATTCCTCATCCGAGGAGAGCCCCCATATTCAGGAGCAATGTACCACCAAATACCACTTGTTGAAGAAACAGCCCCTGGGCAGACTGGTTGGGTCCAGCAGGTGCTTTTTAAAAGAAAGAGTTGTGTTTTGGGGGGGGGCAACAGCTAAGGTTCTTGAAGCATATGTCATTATCTCTTCTTCCCCCCACCCAAAAGTTTTGAAATGGTCTTGGAACCCTTTTTAAGATCATTCCTGTTGGATGATGCTCCTGTATATTGAGCCGCCCTCCCCAATAATGGTACCCATCATTAGCCACTCTTTCATGTTCCTTGTGGGGGAGGGAAGGGGAGGACTTTGAGCCCCCCCCCCCACTTTACCAGTTGTTTGTGCCTCGGTTTCCAGCTGAATCCAGTTCCCACTCTGTTTTTCTTCCTTTCCAGGAATGCTTGAATACGACCCAGCCAAGAGGTTTTCAATACAACAGATAAGGCACCACAAGTGAGTGCTCATTTATGTGGTTTTTCTTTTTCCCCTCTTTCCCCCCCTCCCTCCCCAATTCTTCTGTTTGATGTTGTGAAGCTCTGTGTGTCATGTCTCTGTTCATTTGCCACTTTGGGGAAGGGAACAAAATGCAAGCAACTCTTCCCTTCCCACTCCATTAAAACAAAAGCAGTTGACGGTTAGTAAACGAGTCTTATTTTTAAAATTGATGTCCCGTTGCATTTTGCTTCTTGGAAAAGCCTCTGAGGGGGTTGGTCTTTCACTCTTGATCGATAAGCATATATAGCTACATTGATAAACTGCTCCTGACAGCTGTTTATCTGTTTATACAGCTCCTATATCAGGGGTCTCCACTCTCCAACCTTGGCAACTTTTAGACTTGTGGACTTCAACTCCCAGAGTTCCTCAGCCAGCTTTGCTGGCTGAGGAACTCTGGGAATTAAAGTCCACAAGTCTTAAAGTTGCCAAGATTGGAGACCCCTGTCCTACATTGATAAGCAATTCCTGGCAGATAGTCCTTGACTTAGCACTATAATTGAGGCCAACATTTCTGTTGCTCAGTGAGTTTTGCGACCTTTTTTACCTCAGATGTTAAGAGAATCACTGCCGTTGATAAGTTAGTAACCCGGTTATTAAGTGAATCTGGCTTCCTCATTGACTTTGCTGGTCAGAAGGTCGCAGAAAGTGACCCCATGACCCCCGGGATTCTGCAACCTTTATAAATACATGCTAGTTGCCAAGTTTATAGTAAGAACTATGAGTGTCATATGCAAACTGATGTTTATTGTCATCGTTTATGAAGCTCCAATTAAACTGTGTGGTCCCAATTCAGTGGATTTTCTGTATCTGTCCTCGACTTAGTCTCAGGAACGCTTCCAAGGTTGTGAATGCAGACAATTTGGAGTGTTTCTGAAAAAAAAACCAAATATGTGGTTTAAGCCAGGGGTCTCCAACCTTGGCAACTTTAAGACTAGCAAAGCTGGCTGAGGAACTCTGGGAGTTGAAGTCCACAAGTCTTAAAGTTGCCAAGGTTGGAGACCCCTGGTTTAAGTTGCTTCTTCTAACCATCTTTATTGTTTGTCTGTGCTTACTTGTCCTGAATTACAATTAGTTCCTCTCTGTTTCCCTCCGTCTCGTCATCTTGTCTTCCCCCCGAAGATCCACAGGCAAATGTTTTGCCTAGAGTATCAAAATCAATATCACTCTGCAGGTTTCCACTTTCATCCAAACCTATTTTTAACTCTTCCAACATGTAGAACCAGAAGACCAATATTTAAAATAGAGCAACAAATTCCTGTGTTTTGACTCTTACTGCCCAGCTCATTTTAGCCTTTTGACCGGTCTGTGTATAATTAGTTGAGAATGACTATTAAGAACTCTTTTTAAAAACAAAAACAAAAATTGATTGGTTTAAAAATCAATTTCAGGGTTATTTTTTAATGATTTGGCTTTTTTGAAATTGAAGTGCTTTGTAAAGGGGGTATTGTAGCTCTCTAGTGGATGCTTATTTTGTCCTCAGAAGGTATGAGTTTCAGGTCTCACTGAGAAGACAATAGAAATAATTCTTGGAGCTGCTGCCTGCTAGTGTAGGTAGAGCTGGCCTAGGTGGAAATCGACCAGGTATCCACATTGCAGGAAGCAAGGAAATTTAACTTGGGCTTAGCAGTCATGCCTAACTATTGTGGTTTGTAAAGTCTGCTTTATAACTTAGCTCTCTGCAGTGCTTCCGATTCGAAGGGGTATGGACAGAGACATGCTTGTAGCATCTGTAGACCCCTCTTTAAACCAAGTTTGTCTTCCGGGACCAATCAACAGCCATTCCCTGGGCACCACACACAATCCCAGGAAAAATAACCACAACTTCTTTAAGGAGTTGCCAACTAGTGTTACTATACGCAAACCTGAATCACTGCACAAACCTATTACAGTATGAATGACCCAGGACACAGTGGCTGGTTTTCAAATGCTGAGCTGGGACAAATTTTAACTTCTGTGAGCCCATTTGCTTTGTTAACATCATAGATGAAATAACTGCTTGACTCATACAGGTGCAGTAGTCCTCTACTTACAACCATTCATTTAGTGACTGTTGGAAGTGCGGGGAGGGCGTGGTCAGCGTCACGGTGGGATGACGCAAACTTCGGAGCTCCAGGGTGAGCGCAGATATTTCAGCTGATATGGGGGTCCACAGTGGACCATAGCCGTCCCATAGGAACGGTGAAGAAAGTGGAAGTGACAGGCACTGATAAAAGTGACTTGCAACTGGTCCATGCACTTATAACCTCTGCTGCATCCCCACAGTCACATGATCAGAATCCAGGTGCGTGGCCATCAGCAGGTATTTACGATGGTTGCAGCGTCCCAGGGTCATATGATCGCCATTTGTGACCTTCCCAGCTGGCTTCCTTACAAGCAAAATCAGTGGGGGGCGGGAGAGAGAAACCAGATTCACTTAATGACCATATGATTTGCTTCAGTGATTCGCTTAACAACCATGGCAAAAAAAAAAAAGTCATAAAATTGGACAAAGTCACTCAGGGGTGAAATCTTACCTTCCTTACCGGTTCGGAAGCACATGCACCGTGTGTATACTCACTTCGCTCGCGTGCACAAGTCACATGCGTGTGCAGACCTGTGCATGCACAAAACCTGCGTGTGCGCAGAAGGTTAAAACCAGGAAGTAATGACACCCGTGTGGGTGGGTGGAGCTTTGCTCCGCCATCGCTACCGGATCGTCGAACCACCGGACAAGATCGCTACTGGACCAGGCGATCCGGATCGATCCAGGAGCATTTCACCCCTGAGGTTGCTTAACGACTGCCTTGCTTGGCAATTGAAATTCTGGTCCTGATTGTGGGTGTAAGTTGTGGACTACTTATAATGAAATGCTGAATGAATCCTACGTGTTTGGATTCACACAGCACAGGTAGTCTTTGATTTACGACCGAGAATAGGGTGCCATTTATTCCTCTCTGTGTCATCTGTTCCACCAAGAAGTGCGATGTTGTATTGTTGTGGACAGTGAAGGCTGCTGGCTCAGTTACCTTGGGGAGACGCAACAACTTGAAAACCAGTCTGTGTGAACCTCAACTTCTCAGCGGAGCCTTACTGACCAGTCCCTGAGAATAGATGGGGGAAAAATGACTTTCTTTTTGCCATTAACCAACAACAGAGCTTGGGCAGGCCTTCACGCAAGTCCAGCGAGGCCATTGTGAATGTACTCGGAGAAAACAAGGGGCCCGTTGAACATTTTGCACAAGTCAGTCGGCTGGGGAATTCTGGGAGTTGAAGTCCACCCCATCGTAAAGTGGCCAAGGTTAAGGATTACACTGGCCTGCAGAAAACCAGTGAAACGTCCCTGGTCCCAAAGCACTAAAACCTTGGTTTCCTTTAGCTGGTTTCGGAAAAAGCACCCTCAGTGTGAGCCTCCCATCGCCATCCCGCCCAGCCCGGAGACGAAGGATCGGTGGAGGAGCATGACGGTGGTGCCTTACTTGGAAGACCTCCATGGTTACAACGAGGAGGAGGACGACGACTTAAGGGATGACTACCTGGAGGACGAGATCATTTACACTCAGGACTTCACCATGCCAGGTAAGGAAGGCAGCTGGGGCTGGAAGCGAACAGGGACGGTGGCCCGGAGGAGCCTAAATGGAGCAGAGCGGGCTTGGTGATTTCTCTAGTTTTGCAGCCTTTTGGGGGCTGATGGGTTCTTCTTTGGATTCCCCTGAGACTTTGTGTGCAGCTGTATCAGCCTGCTCAGGCTCCGTTTTAAAAAGGAGGCTGTAGATCTGTCTCCGCCTTAAGTGCAGGTAGTCCTTGACTTACAACCGTTCATTTAGCGACCGTTCAGAGTTACCAGGTCACTGAAAACAGTGACTTATGAACAGTCCTCGCAATCAGGACTGTCACAGCAACTCCATGGTCACATGATCAAAATTCGGGTGCTTAGCCACCAGCATGTATTTACAACAATTGCACATGACATCCTAGGTCGTGTGACAGCCAATCAGGACCTTCCCTGCTTACTTCCGATAAGCAAAGTCATTGTGGGAAGCGGGATTCAGCTAACGACCACATGAGTCACTTAAGAACCGGAATGACTCGCTTAAGGACCGTGGCAAAAAGAGGCTGTAAGAGGGTCTGGCTCACTTAACTGTTTTGCACAGCAATGGAAATTCTGGTCCCAGTTGTCATAAGTCAAGCAGTCCTTATACAGGTAGTCCTCGACTTACCACCACAATTGAGTCCAAAATTTCTGTTGTTAAGCGAGACATTGTTAAATGGGTTTTGCTCCGTTTTATGACTTTTCCTGCCACAGTTGTTAAGTGAATTACCGCAGTTGATAAGTTACTAACAGGATTGTTAAGCGAATGCGGTTTCCCCATTGACTTTGCTCGTCAGAAGGTCGCAAAAGGGGATCACATGACCCCGGGTCACAGCCAACGGTCATAAGTATGAACCAGTTGCCAAGAATCTGAATTTCGATCACGTGATCATGGGGATGCTGCAAAGGTTGCATCTGTGAAAAACGGTCCTGGGTCACATTTTTTCAATGCCGTTGTAATTTTGAACCGTCACTAAACGAACTGTTGTAAGTCGAGGGCTACCTGTGGCTTTCTCTCAAAATCAGCCAGGAGGGCTTGCTTACAGCTGCAGAGATAGTCATCTTGGCGTTTGGGGAACCCAGCTGTCCATTTAGGATATAAGGGGGCTGGGGTGGCCAGAAGAAATCAGAGGAAGCCACTTCTGGATCGGGCCCTCCTCTGCGTGTCCTTTCCCTCTTTTCAACAGGATGGCAAGAAAAGGAAGCGCCCCCCCCCTTTTTAAAAAAATGCACAGGGGTAAGAATGAGTTCCTTTATATCTCTGTCCCTTTGGCGTAGATGCTGAGGGGTGCGTTGCTTGGGAATTTTGAAAGAACCAAAAGCGGTTCCAGATCCGTATTTTAACCGGCTCCTTCGTTCGCTCGAGACCTTGGCGTCGAACGCTCCGGCAATCCAGTCTGAATTGATGGTGCTTTTTTTTTTGCCTTGAACTTGGGGTCTGTTTATGCAGAAGCCTTTCTCCGCAGAAGGAGGGACTATCTGGTAATGCCTAAGTCAACAGGAAGATAGATTTGGTTGGGCATTAGGAAAGCCAGGCTGGAAGCGCAGACAGAGGAGAAACCGCCCTCCCTCGGTTGAAAGGATTTTAGCTTAGGCAGCCTTCGGGTGACAGGCCTTATTATTGCTGGATTCTGTCTCAGATGGCGATGACTAGGGCAGGTTGGATTTGGACGGGGCTCCCACCTGGTTTCATTCAGAGGTGTCTGGTGTGTGCAGCTCCAGGCCTGCACGAGACAGGAGGAATTCTCCAATTTGCCATATCCGCCCATTTGGGAGGACGTGAGGTTAGAGAGAGGCTGCAAAGATTCTTGTGTTGCTTTATTTCTTTGTTATTTCCCCCCACGGATTTTGGAAGCTCTTTTTTCCTCCACCCTTTCTGAAGTTTATTTTGGAAGCCAAGCTCCTAAAATAGCTGGGTTCGCACTGCATTCAGGAGATTTTCGGTTTTCCCATTAAGGTTACGTTTCCATCCCACTGTAAATTGCTTCTGTTGCTGGCCACAATTGCTAATGGCAGCCAAGCTCTTACTTGAGAGGGGTTGTGGGGAGAGAGAGAGAGAGAAGTGGTGGTGGGGGGGGTGAGTTGGGAAGAAAATGCTTCCCAACTCCCCCCCGCAAGGGAAGGGGGAGAACTCTAAACATGAAATTAGCAGTGCGAGTAGGAAGAGAAGATCTTACTTGACTTTGAGCATTTCAAAATGCGTTTTGACACCTGTGTTGTGTGGTTTAAATGGTCTAATAGTGCCTAATGTGTGTTCTGTACCTTAACATAAAATACTCATAACAATCCAGGTCTTTGTTTTAAAAAAAACAACCAGTGGGCAGAATTATGCACTTACGGTACCTTTTGGGTGACATAATACCATATTGGATCTGAAAAATGTCAACTGTTATATCAAGATTTCCCAACCTTGGCAACTTTCAGATGCGTGGACTTCAATTCCCAGAATTCCCCAGCCAGCCATTGCCATCGTTTGGTGTAACTCACTTTTAACTACCACGGGACGGATGAAGGGCTAAGCAGAACGTCTTATGGATTCTGCTTTTGGATGTTACTAATGTTAAAGGAGACACCTGGAGGGTTCACCATGCTTAACTCCATTAAAGTCACGGGTTCAAAGATCTGTGTGAGTGTTATTAAAGATCATGAGCCAGCAGTGTGAAGCAGCTGCAAAAAAGTCTAACACGATTGTAATCCCAATTATAGAATCATGGCGATCAAGTCACAAGAACAAAATATTCATGGCTGTATTAGAAAACTGCCCATAATTTGAAAGATTATCCTTTAAGCCAGTGTTTCCCAATCTTCACAGCTTGAAGATGCGTGGACTTCAACTCCCAGAATTCCCCAGCCAGCCATTGCCATTCTTTGGCATAACACACTTTTAACTACCATGGGACAGATGAAGGGCTAAGCAGAACATGGACTTGCAAGCACACACCTTCATCATTTTCACCCTTACCTTCTTACTCCTGATACATTGTTTGGCATTGCTCACAACAAGAGTGGGCACCACCTCTACAAACCTGCTTTTAAAAACAATTCCCCCCCCTCTGTCAAAAGCCCTGAAGACCATGTCCTTCCCTTAGATTTCCACGCAGACCCCCCTTCCTGCCTCTCATTACACACACACACACACACACACACAGATAATATATGAACACACACAAATCCAGAAAGGAGTGCCAACTTGGCCTAGTGGATAAGGCAACAGGCTACAAAGCAAGAGATGGTGAGTTCTAGTCCTGCCTTAGAGGTAAAAACTAGCTGGGTGATTTCGGGCCAGTCACCAGAAGACAGGAGGCTTTTAGTTCCACCTTAGGCTTGAAAGCCGCTGGGTGACTTCGGGCCAATCACCGGGAGATGGTGAGTTCTAGTCCCGCCTTAAGTATGAAAACTGGCTGGGTGGGCCAAATCAACAGTGATGGTGAGTTCTAGTCCCGCCTTAGGCATGAAAATGGCTGGGTGACTTTGGGCCAGTCACAGGGAGATGGTGAGTCTAGTCCCGCCTTAGGCATGAAAATGGCTGGGTGACTTTGGGCCAGTCACAGGGAGATGGTGAGTTCTAGTCCCGCCTTAGGCATGAAAATGGCTGGGTGACTTTGGGCCAGTCACAGGGAGATGGTGAGTTCTAGTCCCGCCTTAGGCATGAAAATGGCTGGGTGACTTTGGGCCAGTCACAGGGAGATGGTGAGTTCTAGTCCCGCCTTAGGCATGAAAATGGCTGGGTGACTTTGGGCCAGTCACAGGGAGATGGTGAGTTCTAGTCCCGCCTTAGGCATGAAAATGGCTGGGTGACTTTGGGCCAGTCACAGGGAGATGGTGAGTTCTAGTCCCGCCTTAGGCATGAAAATGGCTGGGTGACTTTGGGCAGTCACAGGGAGATGGTGAGTTCTAGTCCCGCCTTAGGCATGAAAACTGGCTGGGTGACTTTGGGCCAGTCACAGGGAGATGGTGAGTTCTAGTCGCGCCTTAAGTATGAAAACTGGCTGGGTGGGCCAAATCAACAGTGATGGTGAGTTCTAGTCCCGCCTTAGGCATGAAAATGGCTGGGTGACTTTGGGCCAGTCACAGGGAGATGGTGAGTTCTAGTCCCGCCTTAGGCATGAAAATGGCTGGGTGACTTTGGGCCAGTCACAGGGAGATGGTGAGTTCTAGTCCCGCCTTAGGCATGAAAATGGCTGGGTGACTTTGGGCCAGTCACAGGGAGATGGTGAGTTCTAGTCCCGCCTTAGGCATGAAAACTGGCTGGGTGACTTTGGGCCAGTCACAGGGAGATGGTGAGTTCTAGTCCCGCCTTAAGTATGAAAACTGGCTGGGTGGGCCAAATCAACAGTGATGGTGAGTTCTAGTCCCGCCTTAGGCATGAAAATGGCTGGGTGACTTTGGGCCAGTCACAGGGAGATGGTGAGTTCTAGTCCCGCCTTAGGCATGAAAATGGCTGGGTGACTTTGGGCCAGTCACAGGGAGATGGTGAGTTCTAGTCCCGCCTTAGGCATGAAAAGCTGGGTGAACGGGCCAATCACCGGGAGATGGTGAGTTCTAGTCCCGCCTTAAGTATGAAAACTGGCTGGGTGGGCCAAATCAACAGTGATGGTGAGTTCTAGTCCCGCCTTAGGCATGAAAATGGCTGGGTGACTTTGGGCCAGTCACAGGGAGATGGTGAGTTCTAGTCCCGCCTTAGGCATGAAAATGGCTGGGTGACTTTGGGCCAGTCACAGGGAGATGGTGAGTTCTAGTCCCGCCTTAGGCATGAAAATGGCGGGGTGACTTTGGGCCAGTCACAGGGAGATGGTGAGTTTAGTCCCGCCTTAGGCATGAAAATGGCTGGGTGACTTTGGGCCAGTCAGAGGGAGATGGTGAGTTCTAGTCCCGCCTTAGGCATGAAAATGGCTGGGTGACTTTGGGCCAGTCACAGGGAGATGGTGAGTTCTAGTCCCGCCTTAGGCATGAAAATGGCGGGGTGACTTTGGGCCAGTCACAGGGA